GCTGGGATCAGATGACCCCAGCCAGATGCCTATCCAGCCTTCTCTTAAAGACCCCTAAGGTAGGGGAGAACACCACCTCCCTTGGGAGCCCATTCCAGTCTAGTAACCCTTTCCGTAAAGAAGTTTTTCCTAATGTCTAATCTAAATTGGCTCTCCGTCAGTTTGTGGCCATTATTTCTAGTTACTCCAAGGGGCGCCCTGGTAAACAACATCTCCCATTACCTGCTGCCCCCCACACCAATTAATTTGTAGGCAGCCACAAGATCACCTCTCAGCCTTCTGTTGTGAAGGCTGAAGAGATCCAGGGCCCTCGATCTCTCCTCGTAGGGCTTTGCACGCAGGTCCCTAAGCATGCGAGTGGCCCTCCTCTGAACCCTCTTGAGGTTGTCCACATCCCTTTTGAAGTGGGGTGCCCATAACTGGATGCAGTACTCCAGCTGCGGCCTGACCAATGCCAATCAGAGGGGAAGCATCACCTCCCTCGACCTGTTCATCATGCATCTGCTAATGTATGATAAAACGCGGTTAGCCTTGTTGATCACTTCGTCACATTGACGACTCATGTTCATCTTGGTGTCAACAATGACTCCAAGTTCCCTTTCCACTGCTGTGCTTCTGAGACAGTCATCCCCCAGCCTGTAAGTATGCTGGTGATTCCTTCTCCTTAGGTGTAGCACTTTGCACTCGTCTTTGTTGAACTGCATCCTATTCTGTTCTGCCCACTTCTCCAACCTGTCCAGATCTGCCTTGCTTCGTTCCTTACCCTCTAGTGTGTTAACTTTACCCCATAATGTGGTATCATCTGTGAATTTAGACAGCGTGCTCTCCACGCCCTCATCCAAGTCACTGATGAAAATATTGAACAGCACTGGTCCAAGGACCGAGCCTTGGGGGACCCCACTGCCCACATCTTTCCAGCTTGATACCGACCTGTCCATCACCACTCTCTGGGTGCAACCCTTAAGCCAATTTGCCACCAACCTGCATGTAATCATCTACGTCACAGCCACTCAGTTTATTTATGCGAATAGAATGGAATCCCTTGTCGAAGGTGTTCTTAAAATCCAAGTAAATGAAATCTACCTTGACTCCTGTGTCTAAGGATTTAGTGACCTGGTCATAGAAAGAAACAAGGTTAGTCAGGCAGGATCTACCTGCTATGAACCTGCACTGGTTGCCCTTCAACATAATGTTACCCGCTGGACTCCCATAAATGTGATCCTTGATAATTTTTTCATAGATTCATAGATGTAGGGTTGGAAGGGACCTAAGTAGATCATCAAGTCCGACCCCCTGCCCTGGGCAGGAGAGAATACTGGGCTCATGACCCCAGCCAGGTAATTGTTAAGCCTCCTCTTAAAGACCCCCAGGGTAGGAGCGAGCACCACTTCCCTTGGAAGTTGGTTCCAGATCCTAGCTACCCTGACTGTGAAGTAGTGATTCCTCATATCTAGCCTCACCCTACTCTCAAACAACTTACGGCCGTTATTCCTTGTTACTCAAGGAGGATCACCTCCTTGGCCCTGCTCATGATGCATCTATGGATGCAGAGGACACTATTCTCATTCGTCCACCCCTGTAGCCTGTCCAGGTCCAGTTGCATCCTGTCCCTCCCTTCTAGCGTGCCCACCTCGCCCCAAATCTTAGTGTCATCAGCAAATTGGAACAGAGTGTTTTTCACCCCCTTGTCCAAGTCGCTGATAAAGAAATTGAACAGCGCGGGCCCGAGGACCGAGCCCTGGGGGACCCCACTGCCCACCTCCCTCCAGGTCGAATATGACCCATCCACCACCACTCTCTGGGTGCGGCCCCTCAGCCAATTTCCGATCCATCTGACTGTATAGGCATCAAAGCCACAGTCGCCTAGCTTTTTAATGAGAATGGGGTGGGAGACAGTGTCAAAGGTTTCCCAAGGATATAGGTGAGACTAACCAGCTTATAATTACCCGGATCCTCCTTCCTCCCCTTCTTGAAAATAGGGACCACGTTGACCTTTTTCCAGTCCTTTGGGACCTGACCTGAGCACCACGAGTGCTCAAACAGCCATGCCAGTGGCTCTGCTATGACACTGGCCACTTCCTTCAGCACCCTTGGATGAGCACGGTTGCTTTAAACATCAACTCTTCCAATGTAAGTGCTACTGTTCTTAGAAAGAGTAGCCAGTTCTGACTGCAGATTATTTTTCTCTTTCTCATTCCAGTGGAATTTGAGACTAAAATGAATTGGATACTTCCTCAAGCCTTGAAGCTTAATGGTAGAAAACTTCATGGGGTTTAGAAACATCCATGTTCAAAGTCTCAGCACTGCCTGAAACCTGAGTGTGTCACCAGGGAGAGAACGGGGCCTCTAAAGCTCAGCCTCCTGGTTGCTGCTTTAGTCTTATGATGAAGTTTTGGCCATGCAGAGCACAGCTGCAATTCTGAGCTGTTGCTTCTTCATCTTGCTGGCTGGGATAAGAGTCTGGGATGGTGTTTTCACCTGCAAGAATCTGTATCATCAAGCACATCAGGCAGCTCAAGGAAGCATCCTGATATGTAGGTTTTGAGGATGTCTTCAGCTGTTGCAGGAGAAGCTTGGAGGCCTGTAAGTGTCACTTTTTTTGCATTTGCCTAGTTTCAGAGTTGTCTAACAGAACTGTGATGACTTGATTATATGGCCATGAGAAGGTACATTTTTGTCTGATTGAAGATGCCATTTTTCCTTTTAAATTTCAGAATTCTGGTGTCTGTATCGTGCCATGTATATCATGTTAGCATTGCATATGACTGTGTTCTTTTAAAGCAAGTAGCTTCACATAAGCCTCTGGTTTCATTCATCAGAATGGCCAAATCTGAACTAGAGGGTAGATTGTTCTCTTCAATTTGTGACAGCAGAAATCCACAAGTGGGGGGCGGGGGGATTGTTAACCATAAAGCCCAAACACTTTTGTATTGGATCTAATCTCATACTGGTACCTGTTTTTCTGAGTAAGTGGATGCTTATTCATGTGAAGAACTCATAAAGAGATTAAATCAGTTCTTTCAAGCCTGTCAGCATAGGCATGTTCAGTTTAGATAAGGTAAACATTTGGAGAACATTTCTGGTGGAAAATATGGCTGCTACCTGACTAGCACCCAGTGACCTGGGTAGCTGCAAGAACTGAAGTGCAATTATTTAGCTTGCCAAGATAACAATGTTTCTACATTCTTCACATGAGCCTTTATCAGAAACTAAAACTTTAATGCAAGATCCATGTCTAGAGTTTATGCAACTTCCTTCCTCTGTGTGTTAGTTTGTGAACTTGCAGGATGGGTGCCAGATGTAGATTGGAGGTGAGCTGAAGGTGACTTGAAGACGCTTGAATGCTCACCTAGATGATATCCTGGAGCTCTCTAAAGGGAGAGTCGAGCATAATCCAGACAGAAAAGGAACCCCTCCTTCGCCATCTCAAGTATTTGCTGATTTGTTGGGGGGTGAGGGGG